CTTCAACAAAGCACCACTTAGGTAAAAGCCAGCCAAGCAGGCAGGGATGGGAGACTGTCTGGGCCGTGGACTGGTTAGGCAGTTAGGCCGTCCACCTGTTAAGCATGGAGTCCGAATCCACATGGTGGCGCCAGGTGTGGAAGGACGCTTAAAAGAAATCCCACACTAGCTCAGAATTGAGAAATAGACAGTTATTTATTTGGTGGTGGACTCACAAATCAGAATCCTTTGCTGAAACAGAGATGAGAAACCAAATCCCTCGGAAAAGAGGTAGGACATATGCTCTACATCAGCATAAATAATATAAGAGATCACGCCCCAGTGGGTGGGTAACCACTGGCTGTAAGATTTCCAACAGCACTCCCCTTCTCTCCTCCTCTTCTCCTTCCACCCTCCTTTCTCCCCCCACCCCTATGTTCCCAATCTTTTCAGGTAATCTTGTCCATTTTGACAATCAGGTGGATATATATATTTCCCTTACGGTACACCTTGTTACTTAGCTTCTCTAGGAACATGAACTATGTATTCACTCATGAGTCGATACTAGCTATAAACATGTGAAGCTTCTTGGTCAACTCTTCTGGTCCTGGTATCATTTCTTTGCTCTGAAACACCATTTCAGTCACATACGTAATGCAGCTGTTTTGATAGGTTTCTGCAGATGTGATATGTGTGGTGGTTGACTTTTGGGGATTCTATTTTCATCTTCAGCTTTAAGTCCATGCTGTCATCATCTGCTGTTTTCACGATAAGGATTTCTGTTCAGTGTCTCTTATGCCTTTCCTTTAAACGTTTCTGCTTTGGGATTCCTGCTGGGCTCAGGTTGGTGTGCACCTTTACTTCTTTCATTACACAACAGCAAATTTTGTGTCTTAACACTGACCAACTACTGCAGATGTCAAAGAAATCTCTGAGCTGCAGATCGTCTAATCAGTGACACAAGCCATATAGAAATAAATTCAATAACTTTAGTAATTTAAGAAAAAAAAACCCCAGACCATGAAACTTCACGACTATGATATATGTGAGACTCAATGTGAAAATTTTGTTCTCTGAAAATGTTCAAGGAAATTACATCTTTCTAGTAGGAAGTCCTCCGGTATATGTGTTGTTTTTATTGATTAATGAAGAAGCTGCCTTTGCTTGTGATTGGATAGAATAGAAATAGTCAGGGAAACTAGACTGAATGCTGGGAGAATGAAGGCAGAGTCAGGAGATGCCATGGTGCCGTTAGAGGAGAAAGACACAAGCTGCTACCTGGAACCTTGCTGGTAGGCTATGAGCTTTGGGGCAAAATATGAAGTAATAAAAATGGGTTAACCAAAGATATAAGAGTTAGCTAACAATACACTTAAGTTATTGGCCAAGCAGTGATTTAATTAATTTATTTTCTGTGTGGTTATTTCAGGGCTGAGCAGCTGGGAACAAACAAGTGACCTCCAACAACTCATCTTATACTGGAAACTGAACCTTGTGTATAACTATTTTAGGGAGCTGTAATGTAGTTATCAAGAGTCTATTTTAACTTAGCATCGCCAAAAAGATGGGGTTTAAAGGGTTGAAAAAATGGCTCAGCAGTTAGGAAAACAATCATTCTTACAGAGGACATGAATTTAGTTCCTAACACCTACATAGGCTGGTTTACAACCATGTGTGTAACTCTAGCTCAAGAGGATGAGACACCCTCTTCTAGATTTGGTAAGTATTACAATTACATACACATACTATAGACAGAAACACACATGCATACATACACACATACCTCACGTAAAGTAATTTTAAAGTGGGTTTTAAATTATTTTTCACCATCAAATTAATACGTGAGGTTATGGTTTTGTGAACTATAAAGTCATTAGATCCAGTCATTGCATACCATTTTCTCTATTATTCTCTTTCATGTTCTCTTCAAAATAATATCCACCGAATATATTTATCCAAAATAATTTCAAATGTTCTTGTCTTTCAAACACATGAGAAAGTTTTGTGAATTTATGAATATGTGTAGTCTGTATTCTGTAAACAGAAGTATCTGTCTCACCAAGTCCCACAGTAATTCAGTCCCAATGAAACACACAGAGGCTTGTATTAATTATAAACTGTTTGGTGTATTAGATCAGGCTTATTATTAACCAGATCTTATAACGTAAATTAACACATAATTCTTGTCTGAGTTTAGCCACACAGTACATATAAAGAAGTATATTCCACATCAGTATTCACTTCTCCAAACCTCCAAAATTAAATGTATTACATAAGTGATTCTGTAAATAGTCTTTCTCTATCCCACCAGTCAGCTCCCAAATAATGATATAGAGAGTTATTAATTAGGAAAGCCTGACTTTAGCTTAGTTTGTCCAATTAAGTCTTATAACTCAAATTAGACATTTATATTGATCTATGTTTTGTCTTACACCTTTTCTACCACTCATTCATTCTGTATGTCTGACTCCCTCTGTGTCTTGTTTTTATCTGACACACACATAGGATATCTCTTTCTTCAATTCGGTCTGCCAATCAGTTGAAATGATTGGTTGCATAGTAGAAGATACAGAAGAAATTTTCTCAATACAGACAGATACAGAACTAGAAGTTAATATAAATATGAAGCTTCTAAGAGGTTAGTGATCCAAATGTGAAACATAAATATTGTAATCAATGAACAAAATGAAGAATGTTTTGGCTTTCTTATTTAAAAAAAAACTATGTTTTTATAAAATATTTTTCTCTTTTTACCCCCTCCAACTTCCCCAAGAGTTAACCCCCCTTTCTACTCTCACAATCTTTTTTCTCTACAAAAAAGAATGACACACAAAAACACCCAGCCATAAAAAACCCTAAAATATACAAGCAAAATACAAACCACATCCTCAAAAGGTGAGACAAAAAATCTACAAAAATAAAATGAGTTCATTTGGTGTGGTCAACTCCCGCTGGGTACTGGACCATCCTGAAGTGTAGATAATATGTACAGTGAGACTCTGTTTGAGAAACTAATTTTTCCTTTGCAAGCAGGTATCAATTTCAGATAGCTTCTTGGTCAAAGAAGGAGTTTATGCCCCCGTCCTTCTCTCAGTACTGAAATCCTACCTGGTTGGAACCAGTGCAGGCCATGTGTGTGCTGCCACAGTCTCTGTAAGTTAGTATTCCAACAGTCCTACCAAGTCTGGAAGACATGGTTTCCTCAAAGTCTTCCACCACCTCTGGCTTTTTTTTTTTTTTTTGCCCTATTTTCCTCACAGATGCAAGAGCCTTGAGGAGATAGAGACATCCCATTTAGAGTTGAGCTTTTCAAAGTCTTTCACTTTCTGATCATTTCCACTACTTCCATTGTTAAGAGTAAAAGGGAATAGATTTTTATGACTTTATGATTGTGGAACAGCAAATGTCTGTTGCTGTTAAATATAGAAAACCATAAAGCAAATATAAATAACAAATATAGATAAGTACAAGACTATTGTTATTTATCATAAACCCCTTCATTTATAAATGTCTATATACAAATGAGATCATGGTAGCAAGGATAGCTCTCTACAGACAAATCGTGGTTAATAATAAAACAGATTTCTCAAAGGTAACCAAGATGATTTCATGACCTGAAATGCACAGAGTGGATAATATGATCTTTATCCTCCATGTACATCCATACTAATCCATTTTGCATTTTTCAATATTTATAGATACAAACTATGATGTCATATCAATGGGATTCGTATCGAGACACAGAACTCTTTGCACTTCAAATACTCCTAGTACACATAGAATGAAGCTACTGTTTTTCTGTGTTGCTAACATTTTTCTGCTTGACAAAAAATGTTGTAGGGTAGATTTTTCCAGTGGCCAACAAACTAACTTTCTCATGTGGAGGCAACCAGTTTTCACACTTGCATAGAAGTTTTATTCAACTTATGCAATGATCATTTCTCTTGAGACTTCTGGTGGGTTGAGATGTGATAGAACAAATTGAAAGGTGGGTGTTAATGGCTAATGGGAAAAATTGAAATAAAGAAAAAACTGCAAGAAAGATAATAACATTTTAAAAAGTACAAGAGCCTATAGGAACAATAATCTAATGGGAATGGGATGGTTTATTTGGTGTACTCTACTACCCTGGATGTGACTGGCACAAGTGGATGACTGCACAGAGGAAATTCCCATAAGCCACCTGTCCACTACTTAAGCTTTTGTTCACTTAGATTTTTGTTCTTCTACCCAGGACTCCAAATCTATTGGATTTCAGAACATGCCTGGATAACTGACACTACAGATGCTCACAAACCTCCTCTCTTCAACTATCTTTAATCCTGAGAGGCCACATGAGAACACAAAAGGAAACAGAGATAGCGGGAAAGGAGGAGGTTCCTTTTCTAAACATGTAAAGAAGGTTCCCAGCAAGCTTTGATTGTCTTCACTATCTACCATCCTGGTTTTCATGACTAGAACATAAGCAGAATAGTTGTGCCAATCATCACGCTCTAGGAAATGTAGACATAAAAGTAAAATAGCAACAGTGAGAAGGAAGATCCTATGTTCTTTCCAAGGATTTGGGTTCTAGCAGAGTTTATGCCCTCTAAGAATTTTTATTTTACATATTTCAAAAATGTTATTTTTCAAGTGATATATTTCAATTATGAAATCATTAAAGATAATGCTGACAGAAGAGTCCAGACATCGGAGCAAATAAATTAATTTATTCAGAAACTGGCATTTCCCCCTTATTTGCATATTACAATTGTATATTTCTTCTGTGCCTGTGAAGAGGGCTGCATCACAGGTTACAAGGAGAGTTAGAGTCCAAATTCCAGGAAAATAAAATCCATCTTCATGATAATCCAAACTCTTTAGTTTATATCAGGAACAACTGCAAATTGTGAGATGATTTCAGCTGATCAGCACACAGTTGTCAGTCACTCCTTGGGCTTAAAGAGAATGGATGGGGGTTCCAGTTCAGCTTGCTCTTCCCTTGTTCAATTCCCAGGGTGAAGGAGAAATTGTTGTCAGGACTAGCAGCAAGAAGAGTAGCATTTTCTGTAGCTACAGCAGCCAGAACCATATCCAGAGCCATAGCCAGAGCCGTATCCACAGCTATAGCCAGATCCATATCTACAGCCATAGCCAGATCCATATCTACAGCCATAGCCAGAGCCGTATCCACAGCCATAGCCAGAGCCATAGCCACAGCCATAGCCAGATCCATATCCACAGCCATAGCCAGAGCCATAGCCACAGCCGTAGCCAGAGCCGTACCTGGAACCATATCCACAGCTAGAGCCAGAGCCATAGCCACAGCCATAGCCAGATCCATATCCACAGCCATAGCCTGAACCATAGCCACAGCCATAGCCATATCTTGAGCCATAGCCGCAGCCAGAGCCATAGCCGCAGCCAGAGCCGTATCCACAGCCTCCACAGGAGTTTCCGTAGTAGTTGCTGCACATGGTGATGAGAGGTGAGGTTTCAGCTGAGAAGCAGAAGGATGTGTCTGAAGTGAGTGCCATCCAGTCTGCCCAGACTTTTATACCCTACAGATTGATGGCTCATGCCTCACATGGGCTCTGCCCTCTCAATTGACAACACTTCTAGAGTGAACTCATTCTCTGAAAGTTTGTTAGGAATTCACAATTTACTTACTACTACCCTAGGAACTCAAAGAAGCATTCAATAATAATAATATGTTTTCTAAACAGTGAAGCTTAAGAAATTATAGCTTATCCTCTATAAAGTCATTAAATGACTATGACATAACATAACACACCATCAAATATGTGTGACCAAATTGTACGTGTTTGGATTATGTTTTTCGTGTCTTTTGAATTATCAACTATTCAGTCCCTTCGTGGTGAAGAGTGTCATTACCTTTTCATTAGCAGCTATTAGAGGATAATCTTTGTACCAACTCTGTTTTGCTATTACAATCAGTCAAAATTACTTTTCATAGATTTTGACAGACTTGAGTTGTGAACCTTCATCTTACAGCTAGAACTCAGTTCTTTCTGAAGGAGGAATTTTTATTTCCATTATTCCCTGCATTATATCTATTAAGTTATAAAATGAGTCATAGTCTAATCATTCATTAATATTTATTTCAAAGGGTTACCACCTAAAAGGTTGAAAATGTCTTGGCTCAAGTTTTTATTGTTCTGTTTTACTTAAGTTAAATTCTTAAATATGAGTCAATCTTGCCAATTACACAATATACACTCATACTATTGCAAGTATATGAATAAATATAATTGCTTTTCTTTACAACACAATTAATTAACAGTGAGTACCTCCATATGTGTGGAGTAGATGGGTAAATGAAAGATTTTGATGAAAGTATATGTTCTAAGGGCCTAAGTATGTATAAGGGACATAGCTCTACATAATAAAACAGTTTGAGTGCTTCCTTCTTTATTTGTCTCTATTTGGTCTTTGTCAGTTGTCTTTCAGATGTAGCTTAGATTTCAAGTATTACATTGAATAGGTTTGCTCACTATTGTCTTGGTCCTGATGTTTGTGGAATGTTTTGAGTTTCCCTCTGTTTAGAATGATGGTGGCGGTGGGATGTTTGTAATTGGTTTTATTATGTTGAGCTATGTCCCTTATACACTTAGTCTCTTAAAACATATTCTTTCACCAAAATCTTTCACTTATACATCTACTCCACCCATATGGAAATACTCACTATTGGTTAATTGTGTTATAGAAAAAAGCAATTGCATTTATTTATATACTCGCATTAGCATCAATGTATATTGAGTAATTGCTAACATTAACTCATATGTAAGAATTTAACTTAAGTAAAACACAGCAATAAAAACTTGAGCCAAGACATTTTCAACCTGTTAGGTAGTAACCCTTTGAAATAAATATCTATGAGTGATAAGACTATGTCTCATTTTATAACTTGTACACGAACAATTTAATACAAAGTTTTCATGTAGGAAATGATAGCAATAACAATTCTTACTTCACAAAGAACTGAGTTCTAGCTGTAAGTTAAAGGTTCAAAACTCAACTCTGTCAAAAATATATGAAAAGTAATTTTGACTGATTTTAATAGCAAAAACAGAGTTGGTACAATGGTTCTTCTCCAACAGCTGCTAATGGAGAAGGTAATAACACTCCTCACCATGGGACTGTACAGATGATAATTCCAAAGACCTTGAGAAACATAATACAAACACATTCTTATTGGTCATGAATATTTAGTGGTATGTTATGTTCTCTCATGGTCATAAAATGACTTTATAGAGGATAAGCTATAATTTCTTAAGCTTCACTGTTTAGAAAACATATTATTATTATTGAATGCTTCTTTGAGTTCCTAGGGTAGTAGTAAGTAAATTGTGAATTCCTAACAAACTTTCAGAGAATGAGTTCACTCTAGAAGTGTTGTCAATTGAGAGGGCAGAGCCCATGTGAGGCATGAGCCATCAATCTGTAGGGTATAAAAGTCTGGGCAGACTGGATGGCACTCACTTCAGACACATCCTTCTGCTTCTCAGCTGAAACCTCACCTCTCATCACCATGTGCAGCAACTACTACGGGAACTCCTGTGGAGGCTGTGGATACGGCTCTAGTTGTGGCTATGGCTCAAGATATGGCTATGGCTCTGGCTGCGGATATGGCTCAAGATATGGCTATGGCTGTGGCTATGGTTCAGGCTATGGCTGTGGATACGGCTCTGGCTCTAGCTGTGGATATGGTTCCAGGTACGGCTCTGGCTATGGCTGTGGATACGGCTCTGGCTACGGCTGTGGATACGGCTCTGGCTATGGCTGTGGATACGGCTCTGGCTACGGCTGTGGATACGGCTCTGGCTATGGCTGTGGATACGGCTCTGGCTATGGCTCTGGATATGGTTCTGGCTGCTGTAGCTATAGAAAATGCTACTCTTCTTGCTGCTAGACCTGACAACAATTCCTCCTTCATCCTGGGAATTGAACAAGGGAAGAGCAAGCTGAACTGGAACCCCATCCACTATCTTTAAGCCCAAGGAGTGACTGACAACAGTGTGTTGGGCAGCTGAAATCATCTCACAATATGCAGTTGTTCCTGATATAAACTAAAGAGTTTGGGTTATCATGAAGATGAATTTTATTTTCTTGCGATTTGGACTCCAACTCTGTTTGTAACCTGTGATGCAGCCCTCATCACAGGCACAGAAGAAATATACAATTGTAATATGCAAATGAGGGGAAATGCCAGTTTCTGAATAAATTAATTTATTTGCTCTGACGTCTGGACTTTTATGTCAACATTATCCTTAATTATTTTATAATTAAAGTATATCACTTGAAAAACAACATTTTTGAAATACGTAAAATGAAAATTCTTAGAGGGCATAAACTCTGCTATAACCGAAATCCTTGGAAAAGACATAGGATCTTTCTTCTCACTGTTGCAATTTTACTTTTATGTCCATATTTCCTAGAGCGTGATGATTGGGACCACTATTTTGCTCATGTTCTAGAAATTAAAACCAGGATGTTAGAATGTGAGGGCAATCAAAGCTTGCTGAAACCTTCTTTACACTTTTAGTAAAGGAACCTCCTCCTTTCCCGCTATCTCTGTTTCCTTTTGTGTTCTCATGTTTCCTCTCAGGATTAAAGACAGTGGAAGAGAGGAGGTTTGTGAGCATCTGTAGTGTCAGTCATCCATGCATGTTCTGAAATCCAATAGATTTGGGTCCTGGGTAGAAGAACAAAAATCTAAGTGAACAAAAGCACCAAATAGTGGACAGGTGGCTTATGGGAATTTCCTCTGTGCAGTCATCCAGATGTCCCAGTCACGTTCAGGGTAGAAGAGTAAGCTAAATAAACCATTCTGTTCCCATTACATTATTGTTCTCATAGGCTTTTTTGATTTTTTAAATATTATTATTTTCTTTGCAGTTTTTATTTCTATTCCTTTTCCCATCAGTCATTCTCATCGGTCTTTCAGTTTATTCTATTGCATCTCCAAACCCCAGGAGTTCCTAGAGAAATGATCATTCTATAAGTTGAATATACCGACTATACAAGTGTGAAAACTGGAAACCTGCACATATGAAAGGGTTAATTTGTTGGCTACTGGAAAATTCTACACTACAAAAATTTATGACAAGCCAAGTAATACTAGGAACAAAGAAAAATTGTAGCTTCACACTATGCTCATTATGAGTATTTTAAATGCAAAGAGTACCATATCTCAATATTAATTCCATTGATATGATATCTTAGTTTGTGTATATAGACATTGAAAAATGCAAAACAGATTAATTGTGTGTGGACATTGAGGATAAAGATCGTTTTATCCCTCTGTGCAGTTCAGGTGGTGAAATTATCTTGGTTATTTTTAGGAAATTTGTTTTGTTATTAAGCATAACTTTTCTGTAGAGTCCATCCTTGCTACCTTGAGCCCATTTGGATATAGACATTTATAAATTGTAAGGTTTATGGTAAAGACCAATTAGTCTTGTATTTATCTACATTTGTTATTTCTATTTGCTTTATGGCTCTCCATGTGTGACAGCCACAGACATTTGAGTTCCATAGTCATAAAATCATAATATATCCCCTTTTGCTCTTCACCATGGAAGCAGTGGAAATGATCAGAGAGTGAAAGACTTTGAAAAGCTCGATTCTAAATGGGATATCTCTTTCTCCTCAAGGCTAATGGATCTGTGTGGAGAAAAAGCAAAGAGATCATGAGTGCCAGAGGTGGTGAAGACTCTGAGAAAACTATGTCTTGCAGACTTGGTAGGACTGTGGGAATAGTAACTTACAGAGACTGTGGCAGCACACCCATGGCCTGCACTGGTTCCAACCAGGTGGGATTTCAGTACTGAGTGAAAGAAAGCAGGCACAAGCTCCTGCTTTTATCCAAGATTTTATCTGAAAATGATGCCTGCTGGCAAAGGAAAAATTAGCTTCTCAAACAGATTCTCACTGTACATATTATCTACACTTCATAATAGGTCTATCCACGGGGAGTTGGCCAATGCAAAATAAATTCATTTTATTTTTGTGAATATTTTTTGTTTCATTTTTTTGGGGATTGATGGTTTGCTTGTATATTTTAGTTTTTTTGCTGGATGTTTTTGTTGGTTTTTTTGTAAAGAAAAAAGATAAAATCTTGTGTATGTAGAAAGGTAGAAATGATTTTGGGAGAGTTGGAGGATGGGAAAAAATAAAAATACTTTATGAAAATAGAGTTTTTCAATAAAAAATCCAAAAAATTCTACAATTTGTTCTTCACTTAAAATATTTATGTTTTACATTTGGATCACTAACCTCTTAGAAGCTTCCTTTTTATGTTTAATTTCAGTTTCTTATCTGTCTTTCTGAGAAAGTTTTCTCTGAATGATCTATTAGGCAGCCTGTCATTTCAACTGACTGGCCATTCCTCTTCTGTGTGATGATTCTGTGATGTTAGTGTGTACTTACAGTCATCTCTAGCCATACACTAATCTCTCTTCATGCATAGTTTAAAATTTTCCTTTTTGTGTATTGCATGGAATTAGGTACCAGTGGAAAGAATCATACCAGTGTTAGAATTGTTGCACAATCCCTTTCATAACATGAGAAGTTGCTTTGAAATGTCCAAAGTGGAGAAACAAACAGCAGAGCCTGTCTTGCATGTTTTGTTGTCGGGAAGTGATTGTAGTCTGGGGTCTCTAGTTGAGGTTCAATCTGAATAGGTTTTCATACTTGGAATGCATCCCTAGTTAATTAATCCTTCCCAATTACTTCTACTTAGGGATTTAGCTGTTCTGTAAAGAAGGAAAAATGAGAAATGTATTCTAGAGAATGGAGTAAGGACTCTGTGGTCTGAGAATCCAGGAAAAATGTTGCCTTTTTTTTGTGTGTGTGAATTTATGAAGAATATGATTACATTTGTGATGAACTTTGAAACAACATTTCTCTGTCATTGATAGCTTTCCATGAATAATTAGAAAGAATTTCGGCAATTGCAATGGCATGTCCACAGCTATAGTTTAATCTAAATGGTTAGAATTATCTAATCACAAACACTCAACGCTTAAGTTAGTATGAAGACTGCACTCTCCTTTTTGCTGTGCAACATTTACAATTAACAACATAATCCATTAAATTAACAATTAATTACAATTAACAACATAATCCATTACAAGTGAATATGTATGTTGTAAACAATAGCAAGTTAGAAGAGATTATCATGCGAAATAGGCAGAAATATAAAAAAGAATGAAGAGTGTTGCATACTACAATATGGTAATTCCTTTAAAAATAGGGCTGGAGGGATGGCTCAGCGGTTAAGAGCACTGACTGTTCTTCCAGAGGACCTGAGTTCAATTCCCAGCAACCAAATGGTGGCTCACAACCATCTGTAATGAGATCTGGCACCCTCTGGCCTGCAGGCATACATGGAGGCAGACTTTCTATACATAATAAATAAATAAAATTAAAAAATATGTAATAATTATCAATAATATATTCCAAAATCAGAGCAGATAAGATATATTAACCAAGCACAATATGATAAATCCAGACGACACCATTTGTAGTGAGCCTGTCCACCCTCTTGATCCAGTCCTCTTTTGTGATGATGCTCCCTGGACATTTAAGCGGTGTGTGTGTGTGTGTGTGTGTGTGTGTGTGTGTGTGTGTGTGTGATATAGTTGTCTTATTTAGGGGTGATCATTCAGCCATCACTTTTCCCTATCAAATATTTAAAGGTCTAAATTTAAACCATTTAAAATATTTCCAGAAAACTGAGGAATAGGGAGCACTCCCATATTTGTTTAGGGAGTCTAGTGTTTCTTTGATAAACAAAGCAAGACAGAGGATGGAAAGTAAATAAAACAAAAGGTTAGCGTTTCTGATGCACATAGGTGTGGATGTCTTCTCCAGTTAGCAAACCGAAATCCATAACACATTATGAGAATCATTCCCCATAACCAGTGGAATTTATCCTGTTATGGAGGGCTGGCTTGCTACATTTGAAAAAAATGCACCATACTGACACAAGGAAAGGCAATACTCACGTAGCAAACAACAGTACCGGATGCAGAAAAGACATGTAGAAACATTTATCACAGCCTACAATAAAAACCCTCAAATATTTTGATTTGTGAGCAGTTTACCTGAACACATTAAAGCATAGACAACATGTCTATTGCTAACATTATATTCGACAGGGAAAAGCTACAGCCTTTCCTAAAGGATGCCTACTCCGGCCAAGTCTGTTCACGATAGTACTGTAACATGTGACCACATCGTATGACCAGAGAAAAGAAATGTAAGACAACAAAACAGGAGGAAAGGGGCCGTATTAGTCTTTATTCCCCCTTCTCTCTGTGTGTGTATAAAATGTATACATATGTTTGCTACATGTAGAGAGGAGAAGACTACCTTTAGTGACATTCCATTCACTTTCTGGGGGTGGGGGTCATTTCATGTGCCCCAGGGTTAAGTTTCTGAGCCTCAGGGATCCTCCTCTCTCCAGTTCCCTAGTACTGGTTATGAGTTTATACCACCATGTCTTTTGTTTTTTTTTTTTTTTTTGGTTACGTAGGTAGCCTACTAGCTACACACATGCAACCAGATGACAATATTGTCTGTCCTCTCCTCCTTCACCAGAGGCTGTCACTTATGAAGCCTTTAAAGATCCCATGCCTGTTTCCCAAACCCACTGCTGCTCATCACTATGTTTCTAATGAGTGTACAGCAAGGTGTGTTTGTGTACGTATTTGCTCATGAGCCCTGTTGAGACATCACTAATACAAAATGCATATAAACTTGCGACATTAGAACCATGCTTCCACATGCAAATCTGTCGCCATCATCAAACACATTAATCCTTGTCAAATTTCCTTATTCTCCCTTTTTTAAAAATCATGACAGGAATATTTAACAGGATAGGTGCTCTTTGCGGATTCCGAAGTG